CCGAATATTTCTCTCTTTGGAACACTAGCGATGGTTTCTCTTCTTTTTTTTTTATATGTATATTTTCTTGGATTCGGTGAACCCCGGTTCGCCATCGGCACGGGTGCTTCCACTCATTGGCGCGTCCCGTGCTGATACGTGTTTTTTTTTTTTTCGATGCGTTGGATACGGTGAACTCCACTTGCCAACAGCGCGGGTGCTTCCACTCATTGGCGCGTCCCTCGCTGAAACTGACAACACATATGCAGCACGGGTGCTTCCACTCATTGGCGCGTCCCGTGCTGATACGTGTTTTTTTTTTTTTCGATGCGTTGGATACGGTGAACTCCACTTGCCAACAGCGCGGGTGCTTCCACTCATTGGCGCGTCCCTCGCTGAAACTGACAACACATTTGCAGCACGGGTGCTTCCACTCATTGGCGCGTCCCTTGCTGAAACTGACAACACATATGAGCACGGGTGCTTCCACTCATTGGCGCGTCCCGTACTGATACGTGTATGACTTCGTTTTCGATGCGTGGAGATCGGTTAATTCTACTCGCCAACAGCACGGGTGCGTCCACTCATTGGCGCGTCCCGTGCTGATACGTGTACGGCGTTTTTGTTCTTTCTTTTTGAGATCGGTTAACTCTACTCGCCAACAGCACTCATTGGCGCGTCCCTTGCTGAAACTGACAACACATATGCAGCACGGGTGCTTCCACTCATTGGCGCGTCCCGTACTGATACGTGTACGACTTCGTTTTCGATGCGTGGAGATCGGTTAATTCTACTCGCCAACAGCACGGGTGCGTCCACTCATTGGCGCGTCCCGTGCTGATACGTGTACGGCGTTTTGTTCTTTCTTTTTGAGATCGGTTAACTCTACTCGCCAACAGCACGAGTGCTTCCACTCGTTGGCGCGTCCCGTGCTGAGGCTGACAACACATATGCAGCACGGGTGCTTCCACTCATTGGCGCGTCCCGTACTGATGCATGATTTGTGGTATTTCCTACCGCTGCGTTGAATTCGGTTAACTCTACTCGCCAACAGCGCGGGTGCTTCCACTCATTGGCGCGTCCCGTGCTGATACATGTACGGCGTTTTGTTCTTTCTTTTTGAGATCGGTTAACTCTACTCACCAACAGCACGAGTGCTTCCACTCATTGGCGCGTCCCGTGCTGAGGCTGACATCACATATGCAGCACGGGTGCTTCCACTCATTGGCGCGTCCCGTACTGATGCATGATTTGTGGTATTTTTCTACCGCTGCGTTGGATTCGGTTAACTCTACTCGCCAACAGCGCGGGTGCTTCCACTCATTGGCGCATCCCGTGCTGATACATGTATGACTTCGTGTTTCGTTGCGTTGAGATCGGTTAACTTCCACTCGCCAACAGCACGGACGAGTGCTTCCACTATTGGCGCGTCCCGTGCTGGTGCGTGTCCTTGTTTTTTTTTTTTCATTGAGATCACTTCCGCATAGACAATCCTACGGCAGGTTGACGAGTTTTTGGCATGCATCAATTGCTGTCCGGGCGTTTTTGGTCGCTTAATCGTCGATGGACGTGACGTATTCTTATAGAAGGTTTGTGTCACAGCGGAATTAAATTTGACGTGATGCCCCTCGAGACCGTGATGCACTCACATGGACCGCTACCTGACGTTCCTCGCGAGTTCGAACCTCGCGTGTCACTTTCACCTCCCCCCCCTATTTTTTTCTCATCTTCTTTTTCCTTATGCATACAGCACGTAGTTCGCTGTCTCGTTTTTTTTTCTCGTCTTCTTTGTTTTTCAGTCTTTTTCTTTGAGTCTTTCTCTCGCATGCATGTGTTTTTGCTTTTATCCGTTCCCGTGAATGCTGTTGAATGCACTTTCCGATTACGTATGCGGCCGCTTTGTATGCCATGGGACTTGTCGATACCATCAGTGGGGACTTGTCAATACCATCCGTGGAGACGATTGCTTACGTGAGTGGGCATATTATCGTCGATTCCTTCAGCTATATGCCCCTCTGTGCGCGGCACAGACAAGATTGTACCGGCAAGTAGTCCCTAGTAAGCCGGGGGAAACAGAAAACAAGGCACCTGCCTCATGTGCATACTCGTGACAGCATCATGCCCTACTGCCGCGGGTCGATTGGTTATGTCCGATGGCGCAGGGTTCCTCCACCCCGTGCAGTACAATGGCTGCTATCAACCGCGACAAGTCAGCGTGCGACCATACAACAGGCCCCGCTCTTTCTTTCTTGCCGTTGAATTTTTTTCTTCAGAGAGAGTACGTCTCGGTTGGGACGAACCGCATTTTTTTTCTTCAGCGAGAGTACGTCTCGGTTGGGATGAACCGCATCCCATGTTTGGGAAGGGACCTATCTGAGCGGCGCGGCGAGCGAGACTGCGGTGGCTTGCCGCCGCTTATCTTACTGCACCCTCCCCCCTCGTGCTAAATGCACGCAGCGATGAGGTCACAAGAGTAGCGGGACGCGAATAGGAACACGGCCGACACGATGGATGTTGGACACGAGTACACACCTTTATATGGAGAGTCGCGTGCTGGTCACTTCCCCAATGCTTGCGCCGTGTCCCGTCCCGTCCTTTTCTAAACTGCCGCCGCTACTGCGTTAGGCGGCTGCTGCTGTCCTTCCGTTGCTTCACGCGCTCTGTAGCTGTCACACGTTACCCGACTTTGCTACAGCCCCTGCGTGGACTCGATCACGGAATGACACCCCCAACTATAGACTAATAATTCCAAACACCGTGACCCTGGGTTTCCGGTAGAAAATGAAGCCAAATTCTAATTCGACTGTTACAAAATAAACACCAGTTTATTCTATCTGCTTCGACGAACAAACCTTCCTTTAATTCTGACAAAGGGCTGGCTTGCCCTGCTGGCTGTGTCTAGGACGAACGACTACCACATGAGAGGGTTAGAACAGAGGGCGCTCAAGTCTAGGACACCTGAACCCGAAACGACTCCCTCTGCGGGCCCACAATATCTCACTGGTCACTTGAGGTCCCCCGAGAGCCGTTGCGACCGTTTCACCTACAGTCCCATAACGGTCAAGCCCACAGTACGTATCTATGTATGCAGCACGCGTGCTATGTTGCTACGCTGGCAATGCTGTCCTGCTGCACTGTGCACCGACGACTAATTTCTACTTAAATGCTTCACGAGTCTCGACACCGCCAGCGAGCCAATTCTGGCGGCGTTGCCACGTACTGTAGCCATGCCCGGACAACCGCCTCCCTGGCGTTGTCCGAAACGGTCCTCAAGCCATGAGATGTTGTTCGTCGCGCGCTGCGGCGCGTCCATTTGTCTTCAGCGGGTTCCATCGGTTGCGGCATGCCGGATATTTGATCCTGGAGTAGTCTGAGCAATCAGTTGCGATACACACGGCAGCGGTAATCGCAGAAAGTTGTTCGTTGTGTCGTATGATGCGCACTCTACTCCATCTTTAGTGGCGGCATGCGTAATATGAAAGATACCGTAATGATATCCGAACCTCCTCGCCTTGGCAGGATCGGCTACGGCAGTGCGCGGAGGAGCTGCAAGGAGCCCTGCTCGACCTGAGGGCGAGAGACTCAGAGCTAGACGGCGTTAAGGAAGAAGCCTCGGCCCTGTCCAGCAGGATGGATGGCATCCAAGAGTCAGCCCGCAGGGCTAGGTCAGAGGCTGTCGAGTGGAAGGCCCTAGCCGAGAGGTACACCTTGTGCCAATGTGTCTGTCGTATATATATCTTTTTGTTTCTGTATGCCAACGTCCATGTCCACAGCAATGGTTCCACCCGGATTTTGGGGGGCGGGGGGGGGCGACCGAAGTCCCTGGAGGCTCTGGAGACCACATCGAACCCACGTTTTCGCGCAATCATGAGGGGCATGGACGAACCCGTGTTAGGCAAAATGGAATGAACCGTGGAACGAAAATGAAATGAGCATGGAATGGAACACAGGGTATATCATGGAATGGAACACGTAATGCCATGATATATAGCACGCAACGAAAATGTGGATTGACGCAGGGCCGAGAGCCGTTTGGAGGAGAGCGATAGGCTCAGGCGCTCGGCACAGGAGCAGCGGTCTCAGTCTGACCAGATCGACCGGAAGAACCGGGCCGAGATGGCCAGGCTCGAAGATGCCAAGAAGACCCTCGAACAGGAAAGGAGGGCGTTTGGCGAAGAGAGTGCAAGGGTAGCGGAGAAGGAAGCCGAAGCGAGAAGCATGGCAAAGTCCATGGACAAGACTCGGAGGTGCGACTGGCTTGTTTATTGTGTGTGGTTGGTTTCCGTGCCTTGTGTTTTGTTTTTTCTCCTGCTGCAGTTCGTCTTCTGCCTTCTTCTGGTCTCACGGATTTGGTAAATGGCAACAGCGGCGACTGCAGCAACACCATTGACATCAATACAAACGTACAAAAGACAGCTACAGCAGTGGCCTGGCTTCCAGGTAGATCATTCCGCTGTCCACGGGAGGCATCGCATGAGGTGTTTGTTCATTCAGCTAGGCGCCAAGCCACCTTTACGATTTAAACCGACGTTTCAAATTCCTTGCGAAACTCGTCAGAAAGAAGCGCTGTAGCTCTACCCCAGCGGCACCCGCGCTCGCAACGCCTTGCCCGGGCAGCCTGGAGCACGCCTTGAACCCAACTTGCACTGCACCCCGGCAATACGTGTCCACCCAAGCTCTTGCGAGTCATTCTCGCCTCCCTAGCTTATTTCCATATCGGGTGTGTGCGCGTCCTTTCCTTCACCGGGTGCTTGACGTGTACAATTGTGGTTGGGAACGTCTAGGCGGTTAACGGAGCGGGAAGAGGAGTTGTCCATCCGTGATGAGGCGTTATCGGCAAGGGAGGAGGCGGCGAGAAGGGCCACGGAGGAAGCGCAAGGCGTTCGCAAAGAGATCGAAAGGCAAGGACCTTGCCACTTCCGTGGCACCGTAGCGGCGAGTTGTTATAGTAAAGCGTGCGCGTGAACAGAAGGTCGTCACTTGCCAAGTTACAAAAAGTTGAGTTTCAACAACTAGGGTTCCTCGTATGGAACGGCGAGCAGCGCAAAGAGAACCTTTGAAGCTGCACAAGATAAGTTTCGGATATCGTCAAGAGGTCGTGTTGCTTGGCCTAGCAATGAGTGTCAATGCCAATGCTACAGCCAACATCCGATCGAGGAGACCGGAAGGCTCACGACAACGCTCGCTTCGAATTGGTCGCACCTCCTTCTTTCGAGCGTGGCGAGTTGTACTAGCCTTGTCGTCGCCGACGGTCAGCGTGCTCTGTTCGCCCGCAAGTGTTTGGTTGACTCTAGCGGTCAGAGTGACGGGGCACACAGACGTCAAGACCCCTTGCCCCTCATATTGTCTTGACGTGCCTTGCTACCCCTACCCCCCCCCTCACCTTGTCGACAAGACTAGTGCAGCTGTTAGTTTGTGGAGAGTCGTGTTTCCCCTGTCAAATGAATCTTCTACGCACCCCTTGTCGGACCAACTGTTCCCGATTTCCAGCCTTCGCGAGATTCTTTTCGCTCAAGAGCGAGAGGTGACGACCAAGGCCAAGTCCTTGACGGCCAGGGAGCAGCAGCTCGCTCAGGCCGAGAAACAGATCGTCGCGAAGGAGGAGAGGGTTTCGAAAAAAGAGGCGGGGGTCTCGAACAAGGAGATGGACGTGTCCGAGAAGGAGAGGCGGGTGTTCGAGAAGCAACAGGCGTTGTCCTGCAGGGAGGCGAGCGTTTCGGAGGCGGAGGGTAGGGTTTCCGCAGAGGCAAGGAGGCTTTCTGACCTGTCCAAGGACTTGACGCGGAAAAAAGAGGAGGCCGACGAGCGCGAGAAGAGGTACGGTGGGGCGAGAAGAGGTACTGTGGGCGCTTTTGGATTGTCTTCGGTTCGCGGCGGTATCGTTAGGGTTTAGTGTGAAGTACGATTTGATACGGCGTTGTGCAGTTTATGGTTTGTCTCTCTTCTGTGAAGTGGAACAAGAAAAGGGTGGACGCGAGGGCAACAAGAAGAACTGCTAAATGTTCGCGGCTTTCCCATGCGAATAAGTAGTACGGTCGACGTTGTTAATCGAGGGGCCGGTGTGGCAGGGGTTTGTGGTTGAGCAATGCGTTAGAACAAGAGTGATTCTACAGCTTATTGTGAGTCCGAGGGGCCGACTATACAATCGCTAGGATATGTATTGTTTTTTCTTTTTCGAACAGCATTGATAACAAATCAGACACGACGGGTCAACCTGATTCACATAGGGGCACTGTTCACCGCTCACGGTCCTCAAAGGGCTGACGGCACGTGGTGATTGTCGGCGGTAACGCGAGCACAGTGACAAATGCGCCATTGCCAGAAGCTCGAAAAGGGAAGAAGGGGGGGCATGTCTTCTGTTGTACTTGAACGTTTGCTCCCACCAGGGTTTCGACCCTTCGGCCTTGACCTTGGGTAAGATTTGGCGCTGTGATTGCATCCGCGAAGCTACACCCGGTGGAGTCATAGTGATGTGCTTCTTGAGCCCTGAGGTACGTGTTGTTTTCTCGGCTGCAACTTCTACCGCACGTCCTCGATAGTATTGTCGGAAATGGGCCTGATATATTGTTCGAACTAACTTAGTAGTGGGATGTGCGCTGCGGGCGGCCGGATGCTCGATGGTGGGAAGGTTTAACGCTGCAGCGGAGAAGCTTACCCAAGACGCTGCTCGTCTGGAGTCGGAGCTGGAGGCAGCCCAGGTGACACTTGATCGAGTCAGGCGGCACGGACGGTAGCACGTACGGGTACAGCGGACACGAAAAACACACGGTGCCTTGTGGACCGTGCGTACGTCTGTAACGCCTTACACAATCTCCTTGTACTTCACAACTGTAGGCGAGTCCCGCCGACTTCACACGTAGTCCCATGTTTTTTTTCTTCATGCCGCCTTTAGCATCATTGGCCCGTATTGTTTAACTTGAAGTTCTGACTTGGCGGGCCGTGGTGCAACATCTCGATGTCGGGGCATAATTGGAACACCTTTGTGGTCGTCTTGAGGCACTTTCTCATCCTGAACTAGGAAAACATAAACATAGGATGAACTTTTTTGTTTACCCTCAACGAGGCAAACACAGGGTGTTGTATGTGACAATTGGGATTGGATACCATAGCTTCCCCCCTACTCTACCGACGGACTGTCGAAGTTCAAGTATCCAAGTTAAACGTTCAGTGGTGTGATTGGATCTTGTTTGTGATTTCGTCGCTGTCGTCATTGACCAACAGTCCGAGGTGCACACTAACCGGGAGCGCGCGGCAACCCTGTTGCGAGCTGAGCGACGTGTACAGGAGCGTGAGAAGTGGCTCGAGGGGGAGCAGCAAGAGCTAGACCAGACGCGCGATCGGGTCAGTGGCTGCCCCTGCTGTAACGTTGTTGCCGCCTGTTTTTCTGCTTTCTTGCTGTAGCACAGCCTCCTCACACCCGTACTCAATTTGATTTGTTATGTTTGTTATCCAACCGGACGGAGATGACCATCGCCTTTGATCTACTGTAGAGTTATTTAGTCTTGGCAGTCCTACTCCGAAAAGGGACGCATGCAAGGACATCGAGAGGACGGGCAGGGGGGATAGCCATGCGCCAAACAAGCGAGTACGTCTCGAAGCGTTAGGATGATTGTTTTAGGCTAGCGCTGCGTGACGTGGCGGACAGATCGCGAAAATCAACTCCTTGTCGACTGCTGGCCCCGCATTGCCACAAAAAGGCGCCGCTCGCATGTGGCTTGATCAGTCTAGGTGGGGGTCGCCGGGCGAGTGCAAGCTTGTTGGGAATGCATCTGTAGGTGGGAAAACTAGAGGGGGAACAGCAAGAACTGGGCCTGTTGGTTGAACCCATGCAGGTAGTCGGGAGAATCGTCCACGCCTGTGAGTGGTTGACCTAGGTTGTGCCTCACATTTAGTTTTTGATCTCGTAGCAACTCGCTTGTTTGAGAGGAGCAGCATGCCCGTTGGGTGGCATCTGCTGTCTAGAGCCCGAACTCATGGGAAACGACCCCCGTCTGGCTGCTCCCTCCGTCCATATCCGCCCACAACGTTTTTGATGTCATGTCATGTGATTTCATGCCATGTCCTGTCCTGTTATATCTTGTCCTACAGATGTCCTCCGAGGCTTCTCGTCTAGCGGTCAGCATCGGTGGTGTGGAGGAGAGAGTGTCTGCCGAGGCGAAGGTGGTCCAGCAAGAGAGAACTAACCTAGAGAAGCACAAGCGGAGGCTGCAAGCGGGGAAGGTACAGGGCTGCTGTGGAAAGCAGAGTGGGGATGGGATGGGATGGGATGGGACGGGACGGGATGGGTTGAGGCGGGATACCGCCGGAAAGACATACATATTTGAACGGCACGATAAGGCTTCCGTGGGATACGATAGTACCGGACATTGTGGCGCGGGCTGGTTTGACTTGAGGGCCGGGGCTGGGGTGTGTGACACACTTACATGGGATAGATATTGTGTCGTGTGTTGTTGTGTGGTGTCAAGCCCTAGTTGTGCGCGGTGTTGGCTGTGTGGGTGGTTGGGCACAGCTTGAATTGAATGGAGCCCACCGTGTTGGTTGTGTGATGTGCCGGCGGTTTTCTTGCCGGCGGAATCGCTCCCATAGCTCAAACATTCGCCCCTCCGCCCACTGCGTCTGCGTTAGAATCACGGGGTCCCCGCGGCTGGCCTCCACCTCCAGGATGAGGTGGTGTAGCTTCGGCTGCCACCAGCGGTGGTAGAACTTCCAAGACCAAAACGCTTGTACATATCTGCGCCATAAGCAGCCGAGGATGATGTGCATGTGTTGGCAAAGCCCCCCAGTTCGGCTGTGTGTCTGTCCCCGTTGTCGTTGATGGAGTATTTCTGTCGCGGTCCCTTCCCCCAGGTCGAGCTGGACGAGCGACGCAAAGCCTTGGAAAGCGAGGAGAAAGCTCTAGACACCCGCTACAAGAACGCCGCTGCTAACCTCGATGCTGAGAACAAGGCGGCGAGAGCTGAGTTAGCCGCGGCGAGGAAGGCCCTGGCAAGGGAAAAGGGCGAGCTGGCCTCCAAGACTAGGAACTGTGCTGCCGAGGCTGAGGCTGCTGCGAGAAAGGTACTTCGAGTCTGTGGAAGTCCGTTGCAGCTGTTGTGCTTGTTCTCCATGCTGTGTGAGAGGGAAGAAGAGAGAGAGAGAGAGAGAGAGAGAGAGAGAGAGAGAGAGAGAGAGAGAGAGAGAAAGAGAGAGAGAGGAGATTTTGTCCGAAGGCAGCGGTTCTCCCCGAAAATGCTACCATACCATTTATTTGGTACACCCGAAGGACAAGTCAGTTTGACCCGGTGTCGGGGGCCTTTGAGAATGCAGTGCATTTAAGAATGCAGTGCGGACATTTGATATTCAATCACCCAGTGCAGTAAGGGGGAAGGCAAAGGCGAGCAATAGCTTCCAGGATTGGTTCGTCAAACAGGGGACCGGCAGAAAAGACTTGGATCTGTCCGTAGTTACGTTGGAATTCACGATTTGTATGTAACGGTATGTTTGTGTATATTGCTACTATGTGGTGTGTCTGGTGTCCCATGACTATACGTTTTGTTTCGCGAGAACTCTAAGAGGTGGTGACTACCAGAGGAGAGTTCAGAAGGAGTTCGTCGGTGCCAATAGGCTTGTGCTCAATTTAGCAACACGGTGCAGTCTATTCCCTCACCCGCATGGAGTCGTTATTGCCATATTTTCTGTTGTCATCAACGTTGTCTACGATGTTGTCGTTGATGCTGTGTTTGGTGTTGTCGTTGATTTTGTCTTTGATGCCTTCCTTCATCTCGTCACTGATTCTTTGTTTGGTGTGTCCGTGAAGCTGTCCTTGATGTTGTCTGTGGTGTTACTTTGATGTTGTCTTTGGTGTTGTCCTGAATACTATAGACCGCGGAGGCGGAGTCTTTGATGCGAAGGGCGAGGGAAAGAGAGCGTCAGGGCGCAGAGCAAGACCGTCGAAGAGAGAGCGACAGGTGCGGGCAGCAACAGGGATTACATATTTTTTGCTACACGACGGGTGCTGCTGTGGAGCACGTGCAGACAATTTTTTTTCTGTCTTGCGGCCAATGTCGCTTATTCCTCCGACGTGTTTGCAACGCGAGGATGCAGAAGAATTATGGTACATGTAAAGCCTAAGACCCTTACCCTGTCTCTATGGCCGCGAATTGGAATTGTTTTGGCAGACGGGCGGTGGAACGTGAGCGGCAGGCGCTGTCTTTGCAAAAGGCAGCGCTCGAGAAAGAGGCCGGAGCTCTGCAGCATCAAGTGGCCGCCCTCTTGGAGCAAAGGTAACAAGCGGGGCAGTCGCATTTCTTTTTATACGGACATGGGTTAAAGTCGATGCCATGCATGCTAGAGGTTGTTGACCCCTACCACTACCGCATCTCTTCCATAAGTCCGGACGGATGTAGCCGACGCGGCGAACCGAAAGGCACAAGCGTGTTCCAACGTGGCGAGGCCTAGGAACGATCTTCGGCTGAGCTCACCCGGTGGACTGGCACATGTACCCCTGCCGGTTCAACGCTGACCCCATGTCTGTTCAAATGTTTAATCCCCACCATGTGGTTTTTATCCCACCTTGATGATGGCAGAACCGTGGCGCAGAACGCTCTCGGAAGCAACAACAGCAATAGCAGCGCCAACGCTCTTTTCCAGGAGGCCGAGAACCGCATGCGACAGGCCGAGTTCCGCCACGAAAGGGCCGAACAACGAGAGGCCGCCGCCGCACAGCTTGAAGCCGCATTGAGGATTCGCGGCGCGGAGCTGTCAACTCGGGAAGAGGCAATATCTGCGGCGGCGGAGCTTTCTCTGGCGGCCTCTCAGAAACAAGCATCGTCGTTGTCTGTGCGAAACAAGGGGGCCACGCGAAGATCGCCTGCCACCACTGTGGGCAAGCAACAGCAAGCACCACCTCCGGCGGACGATTTTTCTCTGGCAGTTTCAGAAGGGCAGGGATGGGCGGTTCCCGGCTCGCAGTCGCTCGCGCTCGGCTCGTCCATCCGCGAAGCCTCCGCGTCGTCTTACCACGGCGGCGGCGGCGTCAGCTGGGGTGGTGCTGGTACCGGCGATGGACCCGGCAAGAACCGGGAAGCCAACACAGGGCTGTCCGGTGTGCGCTTGCAAGGCGGGTCGCGCGCCGGCGTGGACGTGGAAACGCGAGAGCGGCAGCTCGAGGAGTGGTCTAACGCTCTAGCCGAGCAAGCAAGCGCCATGAGGGAGCAGGCGCTGAGGCTGGAGACTGCCTACGACCGGCTCAGGGAGAGAGAGGCCCAGCCGTCGTTCGAGCACCACGAGTCGGAAAGGCACCGCGGTGGGGGTGGTGGGGAGGCTGATAAGAATGACGCCGCTGACGAATCCCAGAGCATCACGTTGCAAACCGGGATGCACCACGAGCAGCGGCGCGTTGGAACGGATCCGTCTCAGGCTCGAGCCGCGACGACTCCCGCTGTCGCCGGTAGCGCCGTTGGCAGCACTAGGGATGCCGCCAGCGAGAGCCAGCAGCTGCAGCAGAGCCGACACCTAGAGCAGGAGACTGTCCGACTGGCTGAGAAGGCCAGGGAGCTGGATGCCGAGAGACATCGCCTCAAGCTGGCGGCCGAGTCCGCCGAGAAGGAGCACGCCCGGGCACAAGCGGAGCGACAAGCCGCCTCGGACGCGACTAGAGACGCGGCGACCCTGAGGGTCGCGTTGGAGCGGGAGAAAACCCGGCTGGACGCCGAGAAAGGGGGACTGGCGGCGGAGAGGAGCCTGCTGGCAGCCGAAAGGGGAAGGCTTGCGACGGAACGGTCGCGTACTCGGAGAGAGGACGAGGCGGTCGCTCGTATGGGCTCAGCAGGTTTCCCGGGAGATGTGGAGGGGGGGAAAAACGACGAGAGTCAAAGCGCGGGTGTTTCGGGGGTCGAGTCTCAGGCCGCTGTCGCGGCCAGTGCTGCCGGGTTCGGAGAACGACCGGCCGGTTTAACAAGCACGCACGATAACGTTGGTTCCGCGGAAGCCGGCCACAACGCGTTGAGCACGCCGGTTGCAACCACGGGTACGACCATGGCGGCGGGGAGTCACCCGACGTCCGCCGGGGTGGCGGAAAGGCAGGGTCGTGCTGACCCAGCAAGTATGGGGCAAGTTATTTCCACCGAGGGTGGTAGCGGTGCTGCTGCTGCTGCAGAGGAGACGAAGGCTTTCTCGCCGCGTCCACCAAGGACAGAGGTGCCGCTTGACCACCGGATAGAGCCCGCTGCCCCCATGGTCCAAGAAGCGCCGGAGACGCCGGTGGCCCGGATGGAGCAATCCGCACAACCTACAACCCCAGCCGGACGCCGACTGGGGTCGGAATCGGTCAGCGTATCGGATCTCGCACGAGCGGTTTCGGCTGCGCCAGGAGACCAATCCTCGCTGCGCTCCGCACTACCCGAACCCGAGGCTCTGAACGGGGACGATGATTCGGCCGTCAGCAGGGCACAGGAGACCCCTGAGGTGTTGGACAGGAACGGCTTGTCCCCTCGCGTTCCTCAGCGTCGACGAGGCGGCGACGCGGAGCCCCCAAGGCCGACTCGGCGAAGCAGTGGTCGTGGCCGAGGCAGCAGCGACGCCCGGCGTGGTACGAGCGCTCCGACGGTGGAGAGCCTACGGCGACGACTCCAAGGAGGCGAAGGGGGGCGATGGGGGGCGGGTGAACCCCGCGGGGGCTCCTCTTCCGACGAAGATTCGTCCCCTGGTGCCGCCAAGCCAATAAGCCGGAGAGCCAGCGGGGCAGCAGCAACAATAGAAGCAGACTCAACAGCGGTGGCAGCAGCAGCAGCAGCAACAGCAGCAACAGCAGGGGGCCGATCACCAATCAGCAGCCCCTCCCTCTCCTCCCTGGGGTCTCCTCCATTGGCTGGAACCGGCAGAGGAGGCCGGTTGGGCCAGGCCCACCGGCCGGTCCCCGCAGACTCGTTCCTCGCCCGGCTCCACGCGAGGCTGGCCGGAGCGGACCACACCCTCCGGCAGTCGCTCGGCAGGCGAGAAGCCCTGCTGAGTAGGTTCGGGACGGACGGTAGCAGCAGCGTGGCCCCCACGAGCGAGGGGGAAGACACGTCCGACCAGAACGGCCGCTCTGTGGACGCCTCGCCCGAGACTACAGCCTCGTCTTCTTGCTCGCCGCAGGACGGGGTCGGTCGTGGCGCCGCGGCGGCGGGGCATGCCAGGAGCGGTAGCGACAGTAGCATCGTCAGGGGCGACCTCGGGCTCGGCCTGGAAGCATCCCCTGGGACGGATGCAAAAGGGGGTCGTTTCGGGTTCACGGACGGAGGAGGAGGTGGTGGAGGAGGAGGAGGAG